CCCCCCCCCAAAAAAGCTCTACCGCCCCCTGCATGGACCCTCTACCGCCCCCCAAGAAAGCGACTCATGCTGCCACCTGCCATAGGCACTAAATAATCCAAGCTTCCAATTCACGGCTGGTGGATGAATCGCCTGGAATGCTCGGAGGGCTTGCCGAGTCCGATTGTCAAAATCTTGCAGCCCCCACATATGCTGGCCGCAGTTCTGGGCGATGCCCCTCATGGCTGGCATCCTCAAAAAATCAGTGAATGCAGATGGCCTGAATGAATGTTGACATGATTACTTGACAATTGCTTCACAAAACGTTTCATTCATTCATTGGTTGCCAAGATACCTGCCAAGCTGGCCATGGATGAAGCCCCAAACCGCAGTCAAGTCCGCGGGCCAATTGCCTGATAAGGACATGATCGCAGCCACCACCTCCACGCCCTGGTCCTCAGCGATCGCTCGTGAACTCATGGCGTAACATGGCATAACCCAAGCAAGAAGCGTGCAAGCAAAATTAAATCACAAAACTATTGTCGCCAAAAGACCATCAACCAGGCATACATGATCGCGGTGACCGTGGTGGCTCTGTGATACCCAGCCGAGCAGTTGATCAAGACCAAGATGGCAGGAGAGCTAAACAGCCGCCACATAACGCGAGTTGTGTTGGGATTCCGGAGCACCTAAGATGCTAAAACATGATCAATGGTTCAAGACCCCGCAAAACATGTGAATCAATGGTTCAAGACACCGAACACGCACTCCAAGACTATCAGACAAAATGCAGCCAAGCATCGCTTTCCCGCACCCTGGCCACCAAGCCGCAGTGCTTCAAGATGGATCGATCAATGGCGGCGCGGTCATGCTCCTCGCTCCTGGGCATGTGGGTTCTCAGCAGGAATAGCCATGTAAGTATGTGTCAGTCAACAACCAGTCAACAACCAACAAATGACAAGAAAATGCACAAGCAAGTAAGTCAAGGTCAATTGAACATCAATAAGTGCAAGCAAGACACTCCAGCATCCAACACAAATTGTGGCACTGAACTGAAATGTGGTCCGCCACTTCAAAGATGATGTCTTGAGGACGGTCAACGACGCTGCCGTTTGGAAGGTGGGCCTGGGCCTTAGAAGACACGGTAAGAGCTGCAAGCCCGTGGCATGAAAACGCAACCTGATCAGAATGATGATACCATGGGCATGCGTCTGAAATCTTAATGTGAACCAAGCAGCTCTCGTCCTCATCCCTTTGATGGGCCAAGCGAGAATGGCGACCTTTCGTGGCCAGCGAGGCACGCTCCACGTATTTCCAGTGCAAGCACCCGCCATAGTTGTACACGCGGCCGCTCTCCAATTCACCAATCCTCAGATCCAGTTCCACTACACCACAACTCGTGCGCAACTATGACACAAGCAAACAAAGCAATGACACAAGCTTGCAGTTGCAATGCATGGGTTAGCAAAAGTTGTTCCAAGCTACGCCTGCTCGGACAGAGCAGGATCCAGCTTCCACCTTGAAATGTTTGCAATGCGGAATCCATGGCAGTTGGCCAATGAATGATCTCAGTTGGCCACTCATGTGTCATCATGTGTCCACTTGCAGCAAAGGTACAGCAGAAACAAAGTCTGCTGGCCAGCGCGATCCAGCTGCAAGGCGATCTTCAAGTACTTCTCCGGCAGCTGTGCCACCGCTATGGAGTTGGAGGGCATGCAGGCAGAAAAATTGAATCAGTGATTGAATCTGATGACTTGAATCTGACTTGAAGCTGAGGGTTGAAAAGCTTGAAATTGAATCTTCTCATCGGCTGAAGACTGAATCTGATCTGACTGTGATTCGATCTGCAAATGACATTTTATCTGATCTGACTGTGAGTGCGGCAAGTTGAAGGTCAGTTTGAAGGCTAGTTACTAGTTGAGTGTGGTAACAAGTTGAGTGTGGCAACTGCTTGATGTGCTCCCTCTGAGGGTATGAAGGCCGCCTTCATTTGATCCACAAAGGGCCATGGATCGGTGGTTGGCAAAAACCAGGAAACATTAAATGAATCAAACTCCTGTCATGACATCAAATTCAAGAAACAGTCACGATATAAAAAATACTCGGAAACCATGGATCAGAATCAGAATCGGTGAGTGAATCCACCCGCAGCCCAAAAGTTAAAACCTTAAAGGTATACACGCGCGATCAACAAATGACAGAACACGACGACACATCCTTGCCTTCCAGCACAGGTGCAGCAAGTCGAAGGTATGTTGAGGACCTGGCTCGGTTGACTTGAAATGTCAGTTTATTTGTTCATGTCCAATGTCAGTCATGACAGAATGGTGGACCGCCTTCTAGTGACACAGTGGCATGGGACGACATGGGAGTTGCACAGCAGATTTAGCAACGATGTGAGATAGAAAGACATGTGAGCATGTGAACGTTAAGAATGTGAAACTATTGAATGAGTGATTGAATGTGAATGTGAATGTGAATGTGAATGTGATTCAGAAACAGCGAAACTTCTCACAGGGCGCCCACTTCAATGGGTCAGGACTCTGCCTGAAAAGGTTAATTAGGGACTCATTTCAGTGGACCATTTCGGTGAGGATGAGTCAATCACCAGCGATTGACAATTACTGTGAATCCTTCAAAGATCTCAACCTCACGTGAGCAGCTATCATTCGCTGAGCTCCGTTCAAAAATTGATACTCACAATCGACTTTATCATTGTGAGTTCAACTGTGTGAACCATTCATCACTTGACCAAAGGACCACACACGGGCTTGATGGGACTTGAAATAGTCGTTCAAACAGTGGTTGCCTCTTGGTGAAGTGAAGTCCAGTGACAAAAAAACATCCTGCCGCCTACTCTGGGTCACAGTCAACAGCAAAGAACCTGCAAAGCGACCTTGTGTACTGCAGGATTTCCTCCAGACTGGTCCTGAACAACTCCAAGCGCAGTAGTACAGGTCTCCTCTGATTTGGGTCGTCAAGCACTTCCTCAAGGAGCCCGATAAACTCGTTGACATCCTGAGTCCAAAGATTATAATTCAGATGGTCAAACACGTCAAACACATGAATTGTCAATTCAAATCTCAAGTTCTTACTTATTGAACATTTTTAAATTGAAAACTTGCAGCCAAGACTCTCTCAAAGCAAAGAAAGTTTCAGCGTGCAAGCTTTGGATTTGGAGTTGAACATATACCTCAGGTGGCTCAAATGGAAACAGAGCCAACAATCCAGCTGCTGCACGGACGAGCAAGCCACGAGTGACAAGGAAACCCTCGAAACAGGATGTTCAACACGTTCTCAACAGTGGCGATCACAGTCTACTAAGTCATTGAAGGAGTCAATAGAACATGTGACTACTACTACACAGTGACAAAGGTGGAAATACTGCACCACTGTCATCTGGCAAGGAGCAATAGGTGGAGGTGGCGTTGCATATCCTGATCCCCATGCTCCTGATGCTCCCTGCGCTCCCTGTGCTACCGATCCCGACATTGCCCGCGAATATCAGCGAATGGTTCAATGATTCAATCAATGTATCTATGGAGTCTTTGCTTTTTGTTTGTGTTCCCTGTGTTGCCTTTGCCTGTACTCTTCTGTTTTGATGAATTATGTTACTCTTTGGCATCAACCATTCATTCATGCTTAGCTATCAGTTGTTTCCTTGATGATCCACAATTATGTCCTCCTTCCGGCCAAAAGATAGGCAGAATAGTAAATTGACATTTTTACAACTGGCATGAGTTCGATAGCTAATCTTGAAACTGACTATGAACATGAAGTTGCAGCTGATACTGACTGATCTGACTGAATCTGACTGAGTGACAAATCATGCCAGGTGCACGTTGGAGAAACCCAGGTCGATGTAGAGGTCCACCAACCACCCACCACCCCAGGTCCACCAACCACCCACCACCCAGAACGCACCCCAATGCCTCATGGTAAGTTATGATGATCGTGCAGAACGTTTGTTCATCGAATGGCCCATGATAAATTGAACAAGTCAACCAAAAGTTCAAAACCACCCAGAACGCACCCCAACCCCCGATGGTAGGTGGCTGCACGTTTGTTCATCGAACGGCCGGCCCATGACAAGTTCTTCTTCCTCCCCCTTTGCTTTAGCATCCAATATTCTGACAGCATTTTCTTCTTCTTCCTCCCCCTCTGCTTTAGCATCCAAATCAAAGGTGAATAAGAAAACTGAGAGCATCTTCATCTTCTTCCTCCCCCTCTTCTTTAGGATCAAACTCAAAACCATTAGCGTCATCTTCTTCCTCCCCCTCTTCTTCTGTCAAAATCAAAATCATTAGCGTCATCTTCTTCCTCCCCCTCTTCTTTAGTATCAAAAGCAAAATAATACGCGTCATCTTCTTCCTCCCCCTCTTCTTTAGTATCAGAATCAAAATCATTAGCGTCATCTTCTTCCTCCCCCTCTTCTTCTGTATCAAAATCAAACTTAGCATCAAAAGCAAAATAACACGCGTCATCTTCTTCCTCCCCCTCTTCTTTAGTATCAGAATCAAAATCATTAGCATCAGAAACAAGAAAACTGAGAGTCAAAAAAAAAGTGAGAGTCATTTTTGCAAGCCCCTCTGATCTTATTTTTTCGTTGGTTCCAGTCCTCCAAAAAACCTCTCCAGCCCTCACAATTCCAAGTCTCTCAAACAGGTTTGGTGGAGGCTCTGGTGAGATGGCCGCGCTCTTTTTTCGACCTAGGCAGAACCGTGCAGAACGTGTGTGACACCATGGTATCGGAAAGACGTGGCATTGGTACTTGTTGGAAAAGAGTGATGGTACAGTGTCTGAAGAAGGAACAGGCGGATTTGGTGGCGCCTGTGGATTGTCCTGCATGTTTCAGGCTTCTAATACACGGCATATTGCATCTTGACACAAACACCATGAATTGCCCATCAAATGTGCCCATCAGCGCGAGTCGAGTTGACAAGTTTCTTTCTCTCCTCTACCTCCCCGCTCAAATCCCTTAGGCCTCAGACGGGCCCTGTTTATCTTCTGAATGATGAGGGATTATCACATCCAAAAAAAACCGTTCATCCAGCAGTCGGGTCCAATCCTCAACTCCTCAAGACTCAAGACCTGAAGAACTGAAAACCTGCGGACCAGGTTTTCATGGATCGTACTTCATCTACGACTTGCCGGCCATGTTGCTCATGCAGCGCTTTTGGTTACGTCGTGCTGGGATCCCTGCCATGCTGGGTGCTAAGCTGGGGAAAATGCCCAGATCCTCCCAGGAGTCTTGGGCCGCAGTGTCGGGTATGATGAGTGCTGGGTGGTGTGGTGTCGTGTTATGCCCTTTCTTTCAATCAGCTATTGATGTGCGACCATCGCCACTACCATTTATCGCTTTCCTCGAAGATGTTTCTACTACTAGGAGCAAGGACGCTACTAGGGGCCCCTGGCCTTGCTACGAATGGAGCAAGAAGCTACTTACCACGACGACGACGGCCGCCACCACCACAACAACTACGTCCATGAAGCACAGACGAACAACCTCGTTGGTCAGAAATTTCATTTGCTGCTTTACAACCTCAACGACCACCTCCCCGTGTCTCCATTTGCAAGAAACACAGGCAGAACAAGCATGCAAGCACAGACTATGCAAGCACAGAACAAGCATGCAAGCACAGAAACAAGGCAGAACAAAGCATTTGCTACGTTGGATTCCGAAAGAAAGGATGCACTCCACAGAACACATCTGATCACTCAGGCTCAGATCTTTCTGGAATCCTCCAAATCTGGTTTTCCCCTGCGCTTGCGCAGAGCTGCCAAGCGCCACTCGGCCTTCTTCGGCTTCTATAGCTTCACGGAGGCAGATGGCCAATCGCGTGCCAGGCTGAGACCTTTCATTGAGGAGCGACCGAACAAATGGGTCTGGCCGTATTTGTTCCGAAACGTCGTGGCCCAGCTGAACGAGGTAGGGGTAAGCTATAAAACCTAGGTACTATGCTGATGTATGCATCCAAACAATGTCAAAAGGCAGAAACACTTGGAAAACGAGATCCAGACAAGCACCAATATCAATGTCATTTTAACAAGCCAGGGAAATGCGACCATTACCTTTAGGATTACATATCTGACGTCAGATATATATATATATATATAATAAGTTACAATACAAGTCCTCGCTTAATTGAATGTGCTTTTATATTTTTTTCTATTTGGGTTACCATAGGCTGTGGTTTTCTTGGGCGAGTTCATGTGGTATTGGGCATATTGGGGCATGGTATGAAAACTTGGCTGGGGTTTAGTGTGTTTTGTCAGAGGACTTTGGTGTGATATTGCTGACGTTCTGGCAGTCATTTGATTATATCAACAACCTTGAGCCTTGGGCTGCGTCATGGCGGGGAAGGACTGGGTACAAGGGTTGATGAACCTTGGATGAGGTACACTTCACACACACACACTCATGTACAAAGTTTCCCCGGAAGCTCCGATCACCTAACGTATTTTTGCAGAGAGAGCATCATGTTGATTCATTTTGCACAGTAGTTTACTTGTGCACTCGGCACAGCGTGTTGTGGAGGGGTGCTTCCTAAGATCTACAAGAGCCTTCCATTGCCTTCCACTTGTTTGATAAGCTCCAAAGCCTTGCAGTTCATCTTAGTAAACGTTTCAGTGATTAATGATGGACACTGGGGACATTCCTACAGTGCCATGCTTTGCAGTGATAGGCATCCATTGGCCGCCAACAATCACACCTACACAGTTCACACGAACCAACAAATTTTAGGGATTCAGATTCAGGGTCCTTTCTGGGCGTCTAGTGGCCCTGCACCCCATCTCCCCCCCCAAAAAAAACACCTTGCATGATTGCATGTGGTTGTTTTGTCACTACTGCTATGTTTTTTTAACTAAGCTGCAGGCCTCCAAACGGCGCCGGGCGGTGGGGGGGCCGGGCGGTGGGGGCACCTAGGACTATTTGGAGAAATGGATGACCAGCCTCGGTCGACATCACGTGCTTGCCTGGTCGGTGGCCTCCGAGAACTGGCTAGAAAACTGGCCACTGGGTGTCCTTGGCACAAGAGCCCGGCTGTGGGTGAAGGGCCTTCGGGTTGAAGTGATTGGCCTTCTGAAGTGATTGGCCTTTGACTACTGGTCACATGGCCCGTTGACTTGGCTGTTTACTTTTGAACAGAGGCCGTACTCGAAGTGTACAACCAATTGGGATATGAAAGGACATCATTGGTGGATCATGGCATAGCAGACCTTGGTGGACCCCGCAAGTGTCGTCAATTTGAACACCAGACTGAAGGATACTGAAGGAACCTCCACCGCCCCCCATCCTTGTGCAGGTTTGCCTTGGTCACTTTGGAACGGGTCGCCATACCGGACGGCTCAAGAAGGATTGTTGAAATCTATGTTGAAAAGCAGAGAGCCTTTTTGATGGGATTGAACTCAAGTTGTAGATCATGTGAATCATGTTGATATATAGGATTGTTACCATTGAACTTAGCAAGTTGGAAAATCCTTCTCAGTGTTCAATCCGGTCAACGAGATGTACGAACATGTCGACTGGCTGAATGAATGGATTGGATTTCTCGGAACGGATGCAACCGGTTGGAACAACGCGAACGGGGCAGAGCTAACCTGTGTCCTGTACTCATTCGTACTCTCTAACTTGCCTCTACCGGGTTTGGGGCTGATAAACATGATAAACCAGTCCATATTTCTTTGGCGCAGCAGTTTTGGACAGTTAGCCATGCTCAACAGTAGTCTGACCTTCCTCAGTCCTTGCATGTCTTTGCCATTTCGTCCAACACTTCGGTGAACTTCCCGTGCAAGAAAACCAGCTCAGCATAGTTCAGCAATGATGTTTTCATCCATTTTGGGTGTTTCAAGAAGGTCGGTCCTGGTTTGACCGATCTTGAAACAGCATCTCAGGTTATTACTTTCTGGCAGTGGATCAAGAGCTTGGATCTCCCAAGCAGCTGGGCCAAACTCCCTGAGCACGAGCTCATGGTGGGCGCATAGCTCGAGGGTTCAGCAAGTTCTCCGGAAGCGATCTAACATGGTGATGCTTGGGGTCTTTGGTCACAAAAACATCCGACGAACACATCACATGGGTACGTGGTATGGCCCCGAGAGAATGACCTTGTTGTGAATTTACCTCACACGGTCCAGGGTGGTTTTCCTTCCCACTTCCAGGGTGATTTGTCACTCGGAGCGTCCGAATCGTTACTCCCGGGATGTGTTGAATGGTGTTCGTGAGCCTGTATTGACCAATTACATCAATGTATATATCCTTTCAGGGAAGAACCTGAGCAGTCAAGAAGAGCGCTGGACAGCATCATATGACCATTTGAATCCATTTGAGATAAGCCAAACCAAACACTAAAGCAGCCAAAGCCCAGCCAGCCAAGCCAAATAAGATCAAGTACAATCCTGGCCCGTCTCTAAAATAGTGACAGTGGTGCTGCTGTTCTTTTAGGTTTGAGTGGCATCACCAGATGTGTCTCACATGCAAGAATCAGCAAGCTGCCCTTGCATCCAGTACATGGTAATTACATGTAATTACAATAATTAACACCAGCAACGGTTTGCACCACTGAAACTTGAATTGCATGACACATGAACAACTTTTCTCATGGTTTTGACTTTTGACCCACCTATTTCTCAGGCCCCATCATGAAATTGTGTAAAGTCAATTCTGATGCTTGGGGCTGCTTGCAGCAACAGCAACGGTGGAAGACAAACTGGTCATTATTCTGAATGAACCGAGCTTGTTGTGGGGCCGAGTGTTCATCTAAGATGCCTCTTGGAGCTGAATTGTGGCCCGAGCACTGTGGTACCAAGATTGACCTCGAAGTGGCTGTGGGATTTGCTCCTCAGCTGAGACAGGGCTGTGGGCTGTGGGTTTAGGTTCATTGGCCCAACACCATGCGCTGCACCCAGCGGATCGAGGGTCGGGTCGCTCCCGGTGCGGAAAAGCACGCCGGCACGGCTCTCTCTTGGGGGTGGGAGTTCTTTCGTGGAGGAGGAGCACCTCTCGACTCTGATAGCGTATTTTTTGTTTTCCGTTTTTTCGTCTAGCATTCTCTAGACTCAAGGCATGATAGTGCACATTTGCTAGTAGACCAGTAGACAAGTTTGTTTATATATAGCATTTAGATAGTAAACCCGTGGTTCCAGAGAAGAAGCAACCAAAAAGCTTCATTGAGCCCCAGTTTCCTTTTCGAGAGATGGTCAAAATCAGACGGATTGCTCATTGACCATGCCTCAACTCCCCGCTGGCTGTCCTCAATTCCTGATCGAACACCTTGTCCATCTTGTCCAATACATGTTTCATCATGATTCCACTGCAAATGTGTGGTGCTCAGTAGTTTCTCCATTTGGGCAGCCCGGCAAAACGACCAATTCCCACCAGCATCTTCCGTGAACGGCTCTGAAATACCCACGCTATTGATGGATCTCCACACCCCTATCCTTTTCCTTCATGGAGTTCCCAACTTCCCAACCCCCACTTATCATTTTCACTATGTCCAGGTGATCGACTGGAATGGTATCGAGCGGACCTGCCAGGATCCGGACGAGCTCCCACAAGCGAGTTCCGTCGAACCACACTCGCACGACCGACCACTCCCGCTGGGCGGGCGAAAAGATGAGCGACGACGCCACATACCCCTGGGCGGTGGGGAAGGGGAGCCCATGGCGGTGTGTGGGGGTTTAGAGTTGCAGCGGATATAGAAATGGCTATATAGACTACGATATTATAGATAGAAGCATATGAATGTGCTGAAAAGAACATACCTTGCCAGTGACTGAAGCACTGAGTATCTTCCTTTTCCGCCAGGGTCAGCTGCCTTCTCAGCAGAGCATGAGCACGGACGGGGGCCCTCAGAAGTGAAATCGAGCGGCGAAGGGGCGAAGGACTGCGAAGGACACCACTGGCACTGCATGCTGCATTTGCTCAGCTATGGTGTGGCGTGTGAGACATGTAGGTGACGCATCACAGTAAGTAGCGCTGATGCCAAATCACCGGACATCACTTCCTGTAAATCCTGTCCTTGACTAAAGGCAGGGGCCATCTCGCTAAAGACATGTATAGACTGGATGCAATGATATGGGTGTTCCGGTGTTCCTTCAACCGACCACCCTGCCGTACGACAGGCTGCTCTTACGACTGTGCGCTTGCTCACGCGCATGGCGCCCTTCCTACACGAGGCCGGAGTTGTGAAAGGCGACCCGTAGGGTTCATCCCCAAGACATGGGAACAGAATGGAACAGATAAGTCAAGCACTGAGATGCTTTTTGACTTTTCACCATGACGTGTTTCTATGTTTTGGCCGATCCCTTTTTTCGCACGACTTTTGACCAGCGTTGGCTCAGCTTCATACTCCTCTTGTTCGACCCTCCCTAATTTTTCTCCGTTGGCCATGGCAACTAGCTGCGACATGGAGAAGGTGGCAGCAGTGCTCAGTGACTTCAACTCTGAAGTCTTGGCAGATGAGGCGAAGACCAAAGACATCCAAAACCAGCTGAGCCACGTCAGCATGAACTTCAGTGAGAAAACACGGTGTACACGGTGTAGATAGATCCCTATAGTTATATATATAATATACGGAAAAATTGGGATTTGACAACCCCTGAAATACAGTTGAGTTGAGAATTTCACAATTTACACAATCCCCACTAGATATTGACACACACTGTCAGCCAACCCAGTACACAGCCATAACCAAGTTTTTTATATTTTTTAACTGAGTCAAAGGCGAGCCAGCTCACTGGAAGTTGACTGACATACTTTGGCCCACCTTCAGCCTATTTGGGATGCTTTGGTAGCTTCGATTGCTTCGATTGCTTCACCAGACTCAAAGAATAGTGGACACTATTCTGGGACCCTTGGAGTACAAAGACAGAACTAACATGCGCAAGGACGCCTGGAACTCAACCAGGTTCGATGTTCCGTTCGCTTCCTTATGCTTTTGGTAAGTCCATCCCAGGAGTCCTGAAAAAATGCTTTCAGTACCCCTTGGACTGTGCCAGGACTGGCACAGACGTGGCACATGCGCGTGCGTGATTTTTGGTAGTGTAGCTATACATAATACATGGATTTTTTTTCGTCACATGTTTGTTTTGCATATTCAGGGTAGACCTCATCAGGGTAGACCTCAAAAACAATCTTAGAACACAGACGAAAGATGGTGTGGCGCCTGTAAGAACGGTCTTCAATCTTCAGTGGTCGGGTGAACTGGAGTTGCGGTTTCCAAAGAAAAGATCCAAACCGCGCCCGAAGATGAACATTCAAAAACCACTGGTGCAGCTAGAGGAAAACAATCATTCAGGGTGCCAAAGCCAGGGTCCATGTGAGTTTTGGCGAGCAACAATATCATGGGGAGAACTCTTTCATGGTAGTACTTCCTGCGTCAAGATCGAGACCGACCTCGTGTTCAAAGCATTGGAGCCCTCAACGCTATATGGATCTCAAGAGGACACTCCGAATGACTCACATGGAAGTGGAACACCTTTTGCATAGAGAAAAAAAACATTTTCCACTTTCCATGATGGTGTTCGAGGTGGATTGTTTCAGCACAGCTGAATCTGGCCAGGTCCAAATTGGACATTCGATCGCTCAAGCAACAGGAGTCTAGCTTTTACCCGGCACGATGCTATATATAGAAGTGATGTCGTTTTATTCCAAGATGATTTCAGAAAAGGCGTTGGATCCAAGTTTGCCATTGAAACTCAAAATGACACAAGTCGACTTGCAGAATTCTTTGTCTTCAAGCAGCGGCAAAGCATTCTGCCAATCAAACCTTCAGCAGCAGAACCTGCCAAACCAATGCAGTACAAACCTGCGAAAGACCATCCGCCGTTCACCGTCGTGTGTCCGTCGCGTCCGCCCATGGCACCAGTCACCCTGGGGCAACCGGTCGAGAGCAGAGAGGATCTCGGTCTGGAAGAGGTGCAGACGAAGGCGGGAACCAAGGACCGGTGCAGAAAAAGAGTGAAGCAAACGCGGAAGGGGAAGGGGAACGGAATATGTTTGTAGACTCTTGATGAATCAAAGCCGATTTGGATCAATCATGAATCAAGGCTTGGGAAGTTTGATGAATCATGATGAATCAATTGTTCACAATGGGGCGTTACTCATGTGAAGAGCTTAGTTGTTCTAGGTGGCTGCCTATGTGGCGCGAATGGAGATTTTGAAGCCTGAAGCTTTGAGGGTCACTCGTGCACACAAAGCCTTCCAGCGCTGTGGGCAAGCACTGCGCTCACTCACAGACGACGACAGCGACCTGTATAGAGAGAGAGCTTTGTGAGTGAAAAGATCTCTTGCTTTTGGTCTCATTCCTGGCACGGGGGGGCGCTGGCCAAAGGTCTTATCAATCATGATGCACTACAAGGGGCAACCAGCAGTTTTGCTGGGTTCTTTAGCTGCCTTGGTAATGGTTATTCTTTTCAGCTGTGGCCTCCTGCCAGGCTTTAGTCGCATTACTTGGCTCAACGACAAGAACTCTGCCTGGGCACTGGGAAGTGGCTTTGCAGTTGCAGTGACCACCTTTGTCCTGTGGCGGCCGCAGCAGCTGGTCTTTCTTGACCGGATTTGCATCAGTGAGAACGACAATGACTTGAAGGCGGCTAGCATTTTTAGTTTGGCTGGTATCCTGAAGAAGTCAGACCGGATGCTCGTGCTGTGGGACCCAACCTGGAGCGAGCGCTTGTGGTGTGTCTTCGAGCTTGCCGCCTTCCTGAAAAGCAAAGAGCCCGGGAAGGGGGAACTGCTCATCAGACCCACCTTTCTCGGGCCATGTTCGATCTTTCTCTTTGTCTGCGCCTTCCTGGTGATGGTGCCGGCCGAGACTGTTGCGAGTGCGGAGAGTTCGAGAGACACTGTTGTTCTGGTCCCTCTCTTAGGTGTCTTCCTCGTGGTGTTCGTGACGGGTTACCTGATAGCAGCTGCCTTCAGGACCTATTACCGCCTTAAATGAGAAGTTGAGCAAGATCAGTTTTAAGAACACCCGGTGTGCATGCTGTGATCTCGGCCATGTCGAAGGAGGAGTTCTTTTGATGTGCGACAGGCAAATCGTGAAGGAGTGTGTGTCTATTTGGTTTGGAAGTGAAGAAGCCTTCGAAGACTACGCCCGATCAGAGGTCTTGGATGCTCTGCTTGCAGGGCTGCATGACCAGATCTTCACCAGACAGTGGAGCCTCTCTGTGTCGATTCCAATCCTTTGGACGTTCCTCGATTTTGCCATCTCTTATGCATTTTGTTGCGACACCATTAGCGTTATCGCCTTGACGATCGACGGGCTGGTGCTTTGGTTCCTTTGCGCTCCGATCTTTATGGATGTGACCAGCTTCTTTGCTTGCAGGTATTGCCAACGAGGCAATTCGACGATTTGCGAAGTCTTGGAAAACCTCAAAGTGCAACTGTCTGGAGTTCTTTGCTTCGGCGCGATGGCCGGGACCTGGTTCCTTTGCCAAGCACTGCAGGGACAGGAGCGTTTGATTGCTGCTGCAGCCTTTGGTGGTGGGTGGAGCACACTGGCACTGTGTCATGTCTTGTACAAAGTTTGGACATCCAACAGGTCTCTCCGTGTTCCCCTACGATGAGGTTTTTAGCTAGCAATTTGTCCTTACAGGTTTGAATTCTTTGGAAGCAGCGAAAGTGATGCCTTGAAGCCCAGGGCACATGGCAGTCCTCACTTTTCAATGCTGGATAGCTGATGAGGAGCTCTTACTGCAGCCAGCTGCCTTCCCGAACTTTCCAGATTATCATGATACATCCTTTTACACCACAAAACACGGAAAATCGATGCGGCGCTCGGCGGTCCCTCCTAGGTCCCCCAAAAGCGTCGCTGAGTGTTCCGGGCGGCGGCGGTCACCGGGGAGGCTTCCCTATCATTACAAAACATGTTCGCTCAATGTGGTTGGTGTTCAGTACATCCCCACAGATTCCAGGAGCCCATTCAGACGTACTGATTCGCCGAACATCCGACACGAGTGGCGACTCTTCACCTCAACCCTTTGAGCAGTCAGAGGTACCTCAGTTCAACCTGGATCCGACATGGCCGTCTCTTGCAGTTCACCGGTGTTCAGTTCACCAGTCCAGCGCCTCATACCTGGTGCATTCTGGTCACTGAGGATCCAGTGCTCCACTTCCAGTGCTGAAGCAAAAAAAGCCTTGGAGGAACGGACGGAACTGCTTCGTTCGAAGGCGCGGACAGGTCGTGTCACGCGACGCGACGCGCCCAGAGGTCGCGTCACGGAACCGCTGTGACTCGCGCGCGACGTCGCGGAAAACGCGACGGCACGCGTGTGGGTGTGCGGTGTTTTTGTTGGATATCAATAATTAGTGCGAAGGGCGATCCCAACCTTTGCCACGGCCAGAAGTAAGCTGTCAGTGGGTGTTGTTTGAAGAATAAGGCCCAAACTGAATGTGTGGTTCAATTCCTGATGATGTTTGGCAAACCCTTTCAACCACCAAACAATTAAGCTTGGAGCTGATAGTGGTGTGTACAGGTGAGTTAACCACCAGAAACACTTGGTGACACTTGGTGGCTGGTGGCAGACCATACAAAGTTGGTTCATGAAACTCAAGAATGATTTCCAACATATCTTTTAAGATCTTTTAAGACTCTCGGGTAAAGTGAGC